CTGTTTTATTTTGCTTTTTATATTTTTAATGTATTTATTGACTGTTTTTAGCTTTGTTGTAGGCCGCCTAGAGTCGCCTCTGGTGAGATGGGCAGCTATATAAATTGGTTTTAATAATAATTAATAATAATAAAGGGTCCGCTAGACCAGCAGTTATAGTTTCTGAGCTGAGGTAAACTCGACATCTATTTCTAGAACCCAAAAACTAACTGGGATGAACTGAGGAGATAAAGCATGTCCAGCTTCAAAGCATGGTGAACACTTTGTACCGTATTCCATCACAACGAAGGATAGTGTGGCCTGCCTATTGTCCACACTGATCTCATAGGTGCCAAACATTGGTTCATTTGCCAGACGGACAGACAGTTGCACAATCCCCTGCTCCGGTTCCACGTTACGCCACTGTGCAATCCGGTTCCCTGCAGGATCCTGCCTCAGCAAAATATTTTAAAAAGTATCATTACTGTCCATCCTGGTATTTCTCATAGGATCCCTGCAGAGGCTTAGAACCTCTATGGGGATGAAAGTTCAGCCACTTCTCCCCAGCCCCCCTCAGTGCACAAGACTACAGATCCCCAGAAGGGTGCTTACCTGCAGCTCTACCAGTTGATACTGAAAAGGAAAACAAGAGGAGACCTTTATAATCAAAAGTAGGAACAAGGCAATTTTCTGGACAGTCTTATTCCAAACTTTACCTTCCTTATTTTGAAAGGCTCATTCTCTTTGAACACAGAACTGAAATAAAGGAGTGCAGTTTTATTCAGCTCTTCATGATATATGTAAAACAGAGTAGTTGCAAATATTTGTATACACATCTCGACATGAGAATTTTGAGAAGCAGAGCTGATGGGGAGAACAAAGGCTGAATTTCTGCTTCCTTGCCCTGCACATTTATTCCAGGGACAATGATAAATGACATGTAAAGCTGCTTGAGCTCTATTGGCTGTTGTCACAATTATAATTCAGTGAGAAGCAACTGAATGTTTTTCCTCCCTCAGCCCATGTTTTCTTCAAAGCCCAGATTTGCTCCTTCATTGAACGATGATTGGGAAGACACTTCCAATCCCAGTGACTTAGCTAGTGCAGGAGAAAAAGGGCCTATGTAAACATGATGTGCAAAAATATTGGAAACTACAACAGCTGTTGGCTATGAAAAAGCTGCACTGGGACTTCAGGGATGAAATGGTGGACTGAAGACAGGTCCAAAAAGTAGAGATGATGACTGGGGTGGAATGAAGAGCTGGTGAGTAGACTGGCTCTTCAATAATTCCTCTCCAGACAAGGAGAGGACTTGAGATTGCCCACAAGTGCTCCAGACAGCTGCTTGTTGTGCAGAGATTGCAAGACAGCAGTCTCCAGCGGGTTTAGAGCTCTGGGAGACAAAGGAATAGCCATCTTTCTCAAACCGCGGTTGGTGCCTTTGAAAGGACACTAAGTTCACATACTTTCTTTTCTAATCATTTTTGGAAATTGCTTCTTAACTGCTTCTCAGCTGTTAGGAACCTTAGGATCAACAAGTTTGACAGCACTGTGTGAGTTTCCTTCAATCCTTAGTGAAAGAAGTTTAACTACAAGTTTAAGAACTTAAAAAAAATTTTTTTTGGAATAAACAGCAAAAGAGTGATTAAAACTTTGATTTTAGAAAGCTACAAACAC